AATGGATAAAGAGGCACGCTCACGAAAGATCCGGAAGAGTGACGCATTCCAATAAATAAGGAATGGATAAAGAGGCACGCTCACGAAAGATCCGGAAGAGTGACGCATTCCAATAAATAAGGAATGGATAAAGAGGCAAACTTGCGAAAGCTCCGGGAGAGTACGCATTCCAGGTTCGATGAAATGGATAAAGAGGCGGAAGAAAGAAAACTATGCGTCATAAATAAGCGTCTACTTACCGTTAGTCATTGCTAGAGTCAAAAAATCTGTACAAGAAAGAATAGTGTCATGAAAGGCGGCAAAACTAGACACCTTTGTATGGTAACTACGCGACAATTTATGTTATCAATCATTTAGTCCGAGTTTCTGAGTTTAAAGGTGAACGGTAGGTAAATAATCAGAGCGATTACGCAACTGATATCTAGAGGTAATTACGACATATGCACGTCTGAAATGTGTGTCACCCGCGCCACAGCTACATATCACGTGATATGTCCAATCAGAAATCTCGCCATCGTCGTGTCGCACTGATAAACATATCTCCATATCGCAATGCATGTCTGCGCCAATGATTTGGTCAATATTTAATAAAAATTTAGTATTGTAAATCATGTAAAAAAATCTTTTAATATTATTTCAAAATTTTGTAAAGTACGCGTAAAAAATGCATAAATTTAAAAGTTTTGAAATCGAATCAATTATATTGTTCTTTTTGCTAACTTTTCTTGTTTTTTGACTAGGAATAATCTGAGAGTCTAGATTTTCTTTATCCTTAATAGCAGGTGGTTTTTGCCTACGTCCTGATCCTTCCGTCTTTTGTCATTTGACAGATTCGACTTGTATACGAATCATAGAACCACTTCTAATATTAACCATTAAATCTAAATGACTGTACAGATCGTAAAGAAAGGAGACTAGCTGAGGGATAGACTTCAACTTAGCCACTTTATAATGTTCTTCAAATTTAATTAATGCAGTACATAATTGTTTACTACTATTTTGGTAGTTTCTTTTAATTTCTTCTAAAAAATCGATAAATGCAAAAATATCAACTTCTTTGATATTTTTATTTGATTCTTTATAAGATAAAAAAGTATCATACTCAATAGTTATGTTGCTATTTAATGTTTTCATTTTCACTTGAAAACCTTCTTGATCTTATGAAACAAATTCTGCATGTAATGATACATAAAAAAAATCATCTTTTGCGGTATAACCTAAGGAAAAAAATTTGAAAAATAAAATAAAAGAAAAGAAAAAAATTAAATAAAAGAAATATTACCCTTTTTGAATATTACGAAATTAAATGAATGCCACAAAATTTACTTATTAAATGCAATATAAGCATAAATCATATGATTATTAGAAGTTAAAGATGGTAGAAAATTAAATGTTGATATATAAAATTTTGCTAAATCTGCATCCTGATGCTTGCAAGATGCACTGGTCATGCTGACTGGACAAGTACAGGTGCGCTGTTTACAATATAAAAGAGACTAGCATCTTGAGTACTTAACACAAAAACTCATTTTTACTACTCTTTTAAATAACATTTGTATTTATGGTATTCTAGCCAGAAAATAGAAAACATTTTATGATCTGCAAATGTCCTAGGTGTTTATGTGCAAAACTGAGCAGTTGAAGTGCATAAAATCTCTTCATATTTATTATAACAAATTGAAAAACTTGCACACAGTTATATACTTACGTTTTTGCAAATATCAAATCTTTTAATATGCTAAAATTCCTCTCAACATAATTATTTGTGTTATTACTGTGTATATATAGTTTAGAACAAAAGGACAGGATCCAAAAATGATGACGCTCCCACAGTAGTTCAAAATATTTGTATAATTATGAATAATTATAAAAGTTTTGTTTGAATTGGTAGTAAAGTGTATGTATTTTTAAGTCTAATATTACATAAGGATTTTTTCATCTTTGTCATTATAGGAATCTGATCTTCTTTTTTTATATAATGATTCAAATTATAAAGCTATCTTCAAAATGCTTATAAAACGTGAAATGAGTATAGTAGACAGATTCCTAATTAAATAATTAAATAAAAATAGTACAAGAAGAGTGAACTTAATTATGTTTATGATGAATTTATAATAATAAAAAAAGTCAAAAAAGAAAGCCAACTTGAATTCAAAATACCCTCTGGCTAGCATAATTCTAGAGTATTATGCTTTACACTTGAATCGTCAGTAAAAAAACATTTGGACCAACTTTTGTTTACATCCAAAAAAAGCATGCTCTGAAAGATAGTTTTAAATAGATTTAATACATTTTCTAACGTTATTTTAAGCTTATTCAAAGTGATAAATATGCTAAGCAGAAGAGCTCCAACTAAATAACTTGTATAAAGAAAGATAATTGATATAATTAAAGGTTCGAATAAAACTGAAGTATTCACATAACATAATTTATCAGATTGAAGGCACCTGACTCATTAGATTAGTTACAATTATACATGAAGTCGAAATGGATCATTTCGGATATCCAAAATGGTCAAAATGGTCAAAATCATTTTTTTTTTTTTTTTTTTTTTTTTTGATACTTTTACTAGGCACACATAAGTGGTACTATATTTGGATGCATACCCTTTAACAGAAATAGATACGACTTACAACACGTCAAATGCCATTATTAACCCTCTTTGCTATTTTTCAAACTAGTGTGAGTTAGCATTAAACCTAGGTGAATGAGTTTCAATATCCAAGTAGACTGCTAAACTAATGAACCCTCAGGGTAAAGAAACGTGATACCCGGCTATCATTCACTATTCATCACAACTACTGGAAAGAGGGTCAAGAACAATCTAAGATGATAGCCTACACTATAGTTGCCTCGCCATACGTCAAAATCACCCCAAGAATCAAACCCAGGCCTCCAAACCCTAACTTACAACTATTGTTCAATCCAAGTTATACAGTGCCTACCATTGATCCTACCCTCACAGGTACCTTTTGCAGATAATGCGCACTTGTTCATTACAGATCAGCCCTATTATCAGTTCCAAACTCAATTGGTTCACGATAGGTGAGAATATCTATTACCACTACCTGTTGTCAGGATGGTATGGAT